TTGTATATTGTGAATATTTAAAGCGTCAGTCAAATAAATGCCGAGCAGATAAAGTGTCACAAAATTTTTTTTCCTAGCTTCCTAAGTAAAGCCTTCAAAGCATCCCCTCTTGAAATTTTGTAAGACTGCTCAACGAATAGCATGTCAGCGACAGTTGCTCAGGCGGGAGAAGAGTTTCTCAAAACTCTTTCAGAAATTTTTATTGTGACTGTCAACCTCCCACATAAACTTCTGTGAACAAAATTCGTAACTTTTTTTAAAGATTCTTCGACCAAGTTTCAAAAATGTTTTTCAATACGTCAAATGCGCTTGAGATTACTGGAGAGAACTGAGATGAATTCAGTGAATCTAAGTAAAAAATGCATACGACTCAGCTACAAATTAAGTGACTATTCCAAAATAATGGGTGTTTGGAGTGTTCATGGAAACCAAGTTTAAGTATAGTTTCACTTATCTATGTAAACAGTCACGAAAGCTGATCCAATGTAAAAAAAACTTTAAGACGTGGGGAAAACTTCGCATATGCATACAAGTGAAACATAAAAAGCTAAGACACTCTGTAAAATGTGCAAAAACTGCATGCCTAATCATATCTTTGAGAATTCTAACTAGATTTTATGACAGTTTTGTTTCAGTATAAATAGGCAACATTATGTAAAGTCCATTTCAGCCGAAAAACAAAAAACAAAAAAAAAAACTCGTTTAAACGGTGCATTTACTGCAAGAAATAATGAATGCAAATAAAGCTGAATTTTTTATCAAAATGACCATGTAAAACTTTAATTGTCCTCAGTCGTAACAGACTTCCATAACTCTTAATTTAACAGATAAGCCTTATATCAAGTAATTGCAGAAAAGCATTTAACCGTTCGTATCAACAGAATCAGAAAAGAACTGTCATAAGAATAGAATTTTTTAAATCCCAATTTAAGACTGCAGAATCTTGCTGGTTAAAAAGCATTCCATTAAAAACCTATGCGTTTAAAATTCACAATTATCGTTTCACTAACTCAAGACTTACAGGGAAAAAAATAAAGTGAAATCAGAAACCCCCTACACTTTTAGTGCAAACTGACTGCTCCGAAAGAGAAAAAGCAAAAAACTGTTCATGAAAAACATCAAATTGGAACCCACCTGAACCTTTACATCTCAGTTCAAAGTTCCACTTGCTTCCCAACTTTACCTAAGAGTTCTTTTGAAGTGCTCTTCCTGCTAACCTCGATCATTCTTATAACGTTGCATACTGCGCATTTATTTATTTGGAGGCAGAAGAAAAAACTATGTACTCGAACATGCCTAGTTCCACTCAAAAAATAACAAGATTATGAGCTTTGAAAACACTCCTTCAGAAGCAAAAAGGTGGAAGACTTTTGTGACTTAATAAGAAATACATCCTTCCTATTAATCCTTCTAGGTGCCGGAGCTGGGTGCCTATGTTCAGCATCCATTTATGTTTTGAAAAAATTCTGCAAAATCAAACGAAAAAATGCTCGGTATGGTGTGAGACGCATACTTAACAGAAAGAGTAATAGACTTCTTAAAAAATAAGATATAACTTAAATTGAACTGCTTCAGCTTAAACATTTGCAAAGTATATGTCTCACAAAACAATGAAGAATTTCAGAGTTGCGATATCGAATGTGATAAAAATAACTTAACTTATGCAGATAACAAATAATTAAAACGAGAAAACTATCCTCAGCTTTCCACTAACCTGAAAGAGTGGTCCACATGATTTCAGATGAACGGCAGTTTTAACTTTATCGCTATGCACCAAATCAGCTGATGCTGACCTAATAAATCGAAAATCACCTAAACATTGATTTCCCAATAAATTAAGAAATAAAAAAACGAATTCCTAAAATTCCATTGGTGTTTTTATAATACTTACTGATTAAAAATTATTAACAGCAAAGTGACATTAAAAAAGTTGAGAGAAGATTTCCCTTAAGCTGACCTTGCGCAACCTTATCAACTGCTGGAAATTTTGGTTCATTAACTTTAACATTTCTCGGGACATGAGGTAAGGCATCTGAAAAGCTTCGGTGGCAAGATCCACCTTCCTTTTGCCTAGAACGTACTTCGTCGTTTACCTGTGCAATAGATCTACGTTCACTTTCCTCAACTTGTTCCCTTAGTAGCCCCTGACTCAAGTGAGCGGAATTTCGAAGGTTATATGCGTTGTAAGAGTTCGGCGATCTTTCACCAGACCCACTGCGATGTCTGGTTCTACCCGTTCCCGAATGAGAATTTGACGATAAATGATAGGTGTTTCTTAGAATTTCTTTTGATTCCTGATGCCGATTAAGAAAGACTATTGGATGTTCCTCACCATACCCATCCTGCGATGAGTATCTGAAACAACCAATGAGTTTGAATTCTAACAAAGAAAAAAGAAAGAGAGAAAGAAGTCTTTCGTCAAAACAATATAAAATCAGGAAAAATTAGAAGAAAACCTTCATGTTCACGGATTTAAACAACTCAAAAACTACAAAACCCTAATATTAGCTGCTGTAAGATGCTGTAAATCAGTTTAACAGACCTCGTCATTATTAGAACCATCAAAGAAACTAACTCATTGAAAAGAAAGTGAATTTGCCCTATAAGGTTAGTATCCTTCAAAATATTTGGTAAGCTGCACTCTTTACAGTAACAGTCAATACCACGGTCACTAATAAGGTAAACCAAAAATGACACAACAGAAACTCTTTTCTATAAGACATAAAAAACGAAAAAAAATTTTGGCCTTCGAGGAGAAAATGGGCCACAAAAAGATTGAAGCTGATTTAAAATTTCAATTTAGATAGGAGGAACAACCACTACACAATGGCAGAAACTAAGCACCTACTTTGAGCAATTGGCTGTAGCTCTAAAAGCGTTGAGGCAATTATGACCATCGGGAAAAACTTCTTGGTAAGACCAGTTGGTCAATTCTTCCGCAAAAAGTTTACGGAAAAGTTCATTATTCTCCTGCTCCCTGATAACATCTAGCTGATCACAAAGGAGACACCGAATCTGAAAACCTTTCCAAATATAGTTACAGAAAAATAAAACTACTCACACTTATAATTTTATACGCAAATGTATACATGTCCTGAACAACGCAAATTCAAAAATGCAAAAAAATTCAAAGAAGCAAATATTACAGATGTCTGATGAAAATTAACAGAAACCTCTTCATTAGAGTAGTTGGAAATAAAGTGCTTAGCAAATTTCATAAAAGTGAAGCGTAAACACATGTGTGACCGCAATACCGAAAGCTGAAATCAAGAACATTAAAGGAGTAATCGATGAAGTTTGAAACAATTCAACATAGAAGCCGTTCCATTCCATTAGTCATGCTTCAACCTCTTGCCAACACATTAATGAGGCCGAAAACAAATATTCCTTTGAAAAAAGATGCGAAAAGTTAGGATTTTTCTCTAGCAACATCAAGGACAACAAACCGTTGAAAGTATGTTAACTGAATAAAAAATATAATTACTTACAAGTTCCCGAACTAATCTGTCCTGTTCAGCAGCTCGTTCACGCAAGATTTCAATTTCACCGTCTTTCCTAGCAATCTCTCGGGCAAGTTCACTAATAACCTTAAAACTTCCAAGCATTCATTGATTCCGAAAGCCCACATATTATTGCAGTAAAAATAAAACATCATCATTCAACTAAATTCCTTTTGAAAAAACTGTAATGACAAAAAAAATGAAATCACTTTGATAACAGCATCCCTCCCCTTCCATCTTGGTCCACCGCAACCTGCAGCCCTTACCCACAAACCATTTTCCTCACTATTTTCAATTGCTCTAACCAAACGGGGATTTCGACGATCACTTTCCTTTTTCTTTTCCATCCAAGCCCTGCTTTTCTCACTTAAAAAATTTTTTGAGCTAGACTGTGTCCCGTTCGCGCTCACGTTTGACAGGCACTCTAGTAAGAGGCTATAGCATCCCGCATCATTTTTCTCACTATTTGAGCCCACCAAACCAGCGCTCATGTCGACGTAATGTGGGACACTTCAGTAAAAAAACTGATGGACAGCCAGCCTGTAAAAAAATTATTTATTTCAACTTTGAGGACAGTGCGAAAATACCCTACGCAGTATCCAAATATACAAGCCCTAGTCAATATGATACAACGAACACAGAAAAAAGATGACAATTAGCACAGATTTTGCTGGCTCCTCAGAAAGAAAAAACTGAAATAGCCGAAAACTGCCTGCCCTATAGGCCTTCCTACAAGCATCAAAAGAAAAATGTACTCATGCCAAACTGTTTCTGAGCATTTCATATAAAGAAAATGCCAAAAAACTTATATCCTCCATCTTGTCGAAACAGTTCTTACTAAAGGACTACTAGTAAATTATTTCCCTGCTAACTCCATGCATCTTCATTGATCCTGCTGAATAGTTACTGTTTCATGTCAATGGGAAAAGCCGGTATTAACACACAAATATTAGGCATAAAAGCGTATCAAAATGTGAGCCCTAGAACTACACTAGCTATATAATTCGGTAAACCCTAACCGATCTTCCTCAAATTTCTGTTCGGCCAAAACAGCCTGCAAGTAAAAACATAATTGTCCCTTTATTTAATGAATTGTTTGCGCCTCCCCTTCCTGCTTCTTTTTTTCCACGCCGAAAAAAAATGAACTACTAACAAGCCCAACATCCTAACTAACATCTCGGCTCCAACTGAATTCTAAAAGCGTAGAAATCCTTATCGCTGGAGATTAATGCAGGAAAAGTTGTCCATCTAACTAACACTATTCCAACCGAGGAACGGCAAAGTGCTTAATGGCTGCCAAACTCGCAAGCATGCGCTCTTGTTTAAGTTGTGGGGCAACGGCGCCAGCAGCAGTCGGAAATTTTCGCCGGTGGGCGGAGTCTTCTGCGGCCAAAACTCCGCCTACCCCAGAAAACTGCTACCCAATCCAGAACTGTGCAAACGCTGTATGTGCTTAATACTTACTACATTTGGACAGAGGTATGACTGGAAGAGCTTTCGCAACCGCCGCCGTCTGTTGACGGAACCTAACTGGATGGGAGAAATTTTTAAGAAAAAAAATAAGAAATTTCTCAACCAAGTTTCGTAACAAACTTTTCCCCTGAACGGCGCGAAACTAGAAAACTGTTTACAGATTATTTGGCATCTTTATTTGCATAATTACTGCCGTGAAGGATTTATAATTGTAATTAAGCCTTCCACAGATGGAACATGATAGATTTAACAGAAACGAATTAGAAAAAAAAAAAAAAAGACGCATAAGCGAATATTTTTAAAGGTTATAAAATATACAGCTTCTATCAAGTTCTGAAAAACAGGATTGCAAACTCTGTCTGTCCATTCAAGCCGTCACGTAGTAGCACGATGCTGTGAAGCCAACGATAGCAAAAAAAAAAAAAAAAAAAAA